GTCCAAGATTCATAGGCCTATTTAGTAGTTTGGAACGACCCGTTCCAGTTTGAGAACGGCCCGTTCTGGGCTACTAAATCACCCATGGCCTTCTAAAATACTTACTATGTTACAAGTAGTATGCTATATCATATAAGAGATACACACCTTACTAAAAGACATTTAATGGAACCAAACATGGGAGTTAGTTGAACATCTTGAGAGTAAACGTACGATTGGATGCAAATAAGTGTACTAGAGGAAACTTGTAGTATCAAAAAAGGAAAGGAAAAAGTTCAATGCTCATCTTGTAGCAAAGGGTATTCATAGTAGAAGGAAATTAACTATTATGAGATTTTCTCTACAGTTGTGGGACATACTTTTATAAAGATAGTCTTAGCCTAGGTAGCCAGTTGAGATATGCATTTGGAGCAAATGGATTTGAAGTCAACCTTTTTTGTCATGGTGGTCTAGAAGAGTAGATTAATAAGGAATGGCCAGAGGGGTTTAGTGAAATTGGATAAGGTTGGTTGCTTAGTAAATTGAAATGGTATCTGTATGGGTTAAAACAATCACCAAGGCAATGGTATAAGTGGTTTGATCCTATATGCTTTGAATTGCTTATAGGTGTTGTGTGTATGATTGTTATGTTCATGTGAAAAGCCTTGATGTTGGCTCTTTTATTTTACTACTACATTATGTTGATGATATGTGGATTGTTGTTAATCATTTGCGTGATGTTAATGAGTAAAAAACCATGTTGGGCAAGGAGTTTGACACAAAGGACTTAAGTCCTACCAAAATGATTCTTGGGATGAATATTCACAAGGACAAGAGTTCTAGGAGACTATGACTCTCACAACAAAGCTATGTTGAAAAGGTTCTAAACAAATTTTGCATGAGCAATGCTAAGTTAGTGAGAACTATATTAGCAAATCACTTCAAACTTAATTTGGAACAATGCTCAGAGGCAAATGTAGAAGTGAATACATGTCAAATGTTCTTTATTCTGTAATTGGTTGCTTGATGTATGTTATGGTTTGCACTAGACTAGATTTGGTACATGTTATAAGTTAAGTATGTAAGTTCATGTCCAAGCTAGGTAAAATACATTGGTAAGTAGTGAAGTGGATCTTTAGGAACCTAAAGGGAACAACAAATCATGGTATTATGTTTGACTAACAAAGTGGTATTTCAGTTGTGGGATTGTTGATTAAAATTATGTTAGTGGCTTGGATGACAGGATGACCTACTTGATGGAAATTAATAGTTCAATCAAAAGCAAAATACACGATAGTAGTTAAGGCTAGTAAAAAGGCCTTTTGGCTTAGTTAAGCCCAACCTAAGGGGCATTCGAGAGATTCTTGTTGCTATCTCCTAAGGGGCTTGATATTTAGCCAAGGTGGTGGAGATAATTGTATATTTCTCATATGTAGAATGGGTAGGTAGATGCTAGAGTGTAAGAACATTGAGTGGAGTAGAACATATTGACTTGGACCATCTATCTGTAGGATTACAAACTAATTGGGTTAGCAAAGCAAAACCATCACAATTTATATATATTTGATGTAATCTTACTTCTTATTAATAATAATAGAAATACAGATGTTCTATTCCCAAGGACATAGAAACATTGCCAAACCTTATTAAATCATTGTTATGTGTGATCTTTTATTATATTCTTTTAGAATCTAGTTTCTATTGCTAACAAATATATTTCTTAGAATATGAGTTTTTGACTTGTAAGGTATGACTTGTTGCCCACTTATATATATCTTACTTGAGTCATATCATTAGTCGATGTAGGATATCTAATATTTCCCTCGCTCATGACAAGAAATGGACATTTCAAGCATGAAGTCAAAGAATTGAACAAGGCTAGGTGGCCAAGCAATGGCTTGATAGTGGGATGCCAAAAGACAATAGCTAGGATAGGCTCTAATACCAGTTTAGAATGTATTTTTGGTCCTAACTCAACATTATAAAATTGACTTGTAATGTAAGGGTTATGCCTTGCTTATATACACTACTTGAGCCATATCACTAGTCGATATAGGATTTTCAACACACTCATTTCGAGGACTTTGGTATTTGTAGGTAGTTTGATATTACTCAATAGTGGGTGGCCTAATAGGTCCAACAAAAATAGCTAAAATAGACTTTGATAACATCTTAGATTATGCACTTGAGGTTAATTCAACTCTACAAAACCAGCTTCTATAATAAGGACTCTCCCTCACTTATATACACTTCTTTGGACATATCACTAATCGACGTGAGATCATGTCAACATTTGACTACACTTTCGTGTCAACATTTTATACATAATATCATAGTCAAACAAAGTTAATGAAGCAATCCCCCAAAACTGAACCTGCAAGCAAGAGGAGCCTCCTAATTATACTAACATAAAGGTGGCAAAAAAGGGGACGAAAGACAACAAAAAGAAGAAAATATGTCACCGTGAGCATAACTTACACTTTCCTCGTGAATACAGTGACAGATAAACAAAAGAAAAATGGAAGCTACACAATTGCCTATTCTGTGCTAGCACAGGTTCTCTCGATCACCTTTGAATCTGTTCTTTGAGAATTCCTGGATGGAGAACTTGATCCTCTAGAAGAACTATGACCAAAGAGACTAAGCTTACCAATTTTTTTGGAGAAAGAACTCATAAACTTGCGTGATCCAGACTTAGCCATATCCCTCTTCATGCAAACGTGTTCCCTCTCTAAATCATTTAGTCTCATTCTTAGTCGAGCCAATTCAAGTTTAAGCTCACGGTTTTCGCGTCTCAACGATGCATAGTTGTCTCGTGGAGACATTGCTGCACTTAGTGCGCCACTACTTATGCGCCAAGACTGGTGTATTGGCTTGGGGTCATCTTCCCCATAGGAGCAGGACAAAGAATTTCTAAGTCTTAGTTGCTCAAAATATAGAACTTGCACTATTGATTGGAGAGGAAGGCGCTCATTTTGCGCAGCGTGTGCTCCAGCTTCTTGAGAAAGCTTTTGAAAATCAATCAACTTGCATAATTTCTTCTTGTCCAAATCTGACAAACCTTGATGAGCCTGAAATTGCACAAAGCATCAGCTTAAAATTGAAAAGGCAATTTTATAAGTCACATAATCAATCTAAGATTAGTATTTTGATCAAGGAAAAAAAAATTCCCGTGCCCTAGGGAAGACTTGAAAATAAGAGACATTAGGCATCATATTTACAACACAAGTTTGATGAACCAACAAATGTTTTTTAAATGAGAGTGATTATCCATACAATATTATCATCTACTTTAATAAGAGAGTGGTTAGGTAGATATCCTTTTGTGAAATCTACAAAATGTGTTGGAATTTTCTTTAGATTTGATATCAGAATAACAGGTTTGCACCATTTTTTGGTTAAACTTATTCACTCCAAGTAGCAAAATTTGTTATCACATATAATGAAGCAAATATAATAAAACATACTTTTAAGTAAATATCAATTGCTCGATATAAGCCATCATGAACAGTGCGTGCATGAGCTGGCAAGGTTTCTGCAATGACCATAAACTTAGAAAGTTTGAGGTTTGCATCAGGGGCAATTTCAGCTAAGTAGTTGTCCACTAGTTTTGAAACTTTAACTAGTGCAGTTTGGGAGGGCGAACGAGGGCTGTCGGATTCAAAAACAGAAGCATCTTCTGGATCTTCTTCACTATCATCCTGCTGACAGAAGTTTACTAAAATTCTATGAACTGTGTCAACATCAAACAAGGTATCACCTGCATGCCTGAAAGATGGAATCAAAATGTCATCAAGAGTGGCAACATCTAGCTGTGATCCAATCCTTCTTTCCAAGTCAAGTCTAGAAGCAATTGCACAATCAAGCATCACTGCGCTTCGCAGAAGCCCAAAAAGGAAATTGATTGGAACAGCAAGTTTCTCAACAGGCAAAAGGCTAACAATGGTCTCAACCACAAGCTTTTCATGCAGAGTGGAATTTGAATCAACCTTAGTCTGACTAGATGGATTCCACAAGCTGGATTTCTTTGTTAATTCTTTCTGTGCATAATTCACAAGGGAAGCACCAATGCTTTCCGGCCGCACTCCACGACATTTCATGGCTGTTATGACTCTTTGGTACATATCAATTCTCAGAACAGAAAGATCTTCTATCCACCAGTCACCATCACATTTGGCTTGCCTACTCATATGTAACCTTCCTGAGCTGCTATACTCTAATCTCGAGAAACTAGAAGCTATTTGCTCTGCACATGCTTTTGAGGCTATTGCATCAATGCAGCGGCTAACTACTTTCAGCTCATCAGCAAGAGGAAGAAGGCTCTCACATTGTTGCAAGACTATAACACACATTTCAAGATTCTTGCAAACTATACTATCAAGATATTCCTCAGCACGCGAACCAAGGTTGTCTTTTGAAAAGTCTTCAGTCATTTCAAGGTAATCAGAGACACAACATAGCTGAGCAACATTTGTTGATGTAATCTCAAAATTAATACCATAACAAAATTTGGCTGCCAACTCAAAGCATTCAGCACCTCCTGGTAGATGAAGAAGCTCAACTCTTGAGATATCAGAATCCCTGTGTTCTGCAACTAACCTCCTTATTCTCCCACTTCTGGAGACAAGAGGAAACTTCATGCAAAAGTAATATTAACAATTAGAACAATCACAGATGGATTTCTTCTTAGTCATTGTCATGTCATTATCAAAAATCATCACTAAACCGACATTAAATAAGTACTTACCTTGTGTAATGAAAACGTGCCTCCATTCACTTCGATAGTTATATCACTTGGTACATCGCGAAAAATCCTACAAAAGCTCAACGGGAAATTATTCAGAAGATAAAATCAACAGCCTCTTTCTTGACTTTATGTCAGAACAGCTCATACACGGGCCCTTCACTCATCATAAGTTTTAAAAAGAACATATAAGCTTGTAAGAAAATTGATCTTTCCGTTGCTTCCAAGGTTAAAAACACTTGACCAATTAGAATATGAAAAAAGGCAATGACACCAATTGGATAATTACTTTGGAATTGAGATACATAAAAACTTAGCACACCACTTTCATTTCTTCACTTACATGTCCCTGCTCACACGCATAAATTAATGGTAACATTTCTACTTTTCTAACTATCAAAAGAAGCGGACTAGCGGAGTAAAGAATAAGGAAAAACTTACGCAATATAGCAAAACTGAGGTATGTGACTAATCAAATCATTCTAGAACAAATATGGTAGTACTTTTAAGGTGGAATTATAACATTCTTCTAGGTAAATGATATTACCTGCGTTAATTCCGCAGATGATCAACCCAAAAGATTAAGAGGAAAGTCATTTTAAAATTAGACTACCATTAAACTTTTAGTTTAATTTATTAAATTAAGTTAACGGCTTTCCCCTGACAAAATTTTGTTGGTTAAATTCACAACAGGCTTTGTTGATATGATCATTGTCAAGATCTCTGGCTTAATAAGTAAAGAAGGTGATCGTCCTTATGCCTCTTACTCAGGCAATAAAGAAAGATAAAAAAAGTATAAAAATCAACTTGTTTTTCCAAGGAAAAATTGATAACAATTGCCAAAGATACCATTATACCATCCATGCCAAAATCAGAATCAAAAACTGAAAACACAGTTCACAAACAATAATTCAGATGATCCAAGTAACCAGAAGTCATACCATGCACATAGTAGTAGGCATGATAACTCACTGATCACATAGAAGATCATCGTATGAACATGAGATACATTATACCAACATCTCATAACAATAATAGAACAGATCTTTGATCTTTTCTCTCCAGTAGCAAATTCATTTGCTGCAGGCTCTAGCAGAAGCCAAGTTAATTAACATGATTACAAGAATTCAAGGGAAGCCATACACCACCTGGTCAATAGATCATCTACTCAATGCATAAGTATGCCACAACAAAGCAACATGTGCACAAACAGAAACTCACCCTTCAAGCAACAATTTGTGTAGATGGAAACAAAAAGCAAGCATGGAGAATTTACATCAGAAAAAGGACCGTGAGAAAGCATGAAACAAACCATTCATTGTATCTTTGCCTTGTACCCTTGGCTAAGGATAACTGCTGCTGCTGCTGCTTGTCAGTACGGTCCATAGGGAGTGAGAAAAAACAAGTAAGATAGTAAAACAGAACTGAATGTGAAAGGAAAGATAAAACTAAAAGTATAGTAGTAGTGGGTTTAAGGTAGTAGTAGTAGTGAAGTGGGGAAAAAGACAGACCCAGTTGGAGATGTTGCTGTTGGGGGAGTTCTTTGGCCATTTTCGTTAAACAGGTGGTGCTCATTGCATAGATTGCAATCGTCCAAATCAATGGGCCTGTGATGTGGGTCACACCTTGCTTTACGTAACTTATAATACTTTACACTTGAAATGAATTTAAATTGGACATATTGTATCATGTATAGTATGAATATTACTACTATAAATCAATCTTTTAAAATTTAAATTGAACAAATTTGTTACACCATAAATTAGCTACGCCTAGTTTATTACACTGATTTCATTATGGTGTTAAATTTAAGTTAAATCAAATATCTAAAATTAACATGTGGTTATTTCGAGTAAAACTGAAGTAATTTTTTAAGACAAATCACAAAGAACTTTGTAAATAAAAAACAGATAGTTAAGAAGAGAGACATGTCTAAGAGTAATTAGTTAAATTCTTCAATAGAAACTAGTTAACAATGAAAGTCGTGATATTTGATATTAATAATATAGTTTTATTGGTATGATTCTCAATTAGTTTCAAAGTCTTCAAGTTTGGTGCAAGGAAAAGTCCGTGATTGTGTGTGAGTGAGACACAATTATTTTTCCATCGTTCGGTGCTTTTTCATTTTTCTTGGTTTCTTTAACAAAAAGGGAAGAAAGGGGCTAGTAGTTGTTCCTTTAACAAAGGGGCTTGTGGAGAAAAGTCAAAAATGATGCTCAGAGGAACAGGAACGATAGTGGAAGAAAAGTTGTTAAACAGGTTTAGACAATTTTGTCATGTTACTCTTTCTTGCTGTTCCCTTTACTCCAAAATTTCATCATTTTCTTGAACAAATTATGCTTGTCACCAAGATTTGAATATTTTTTGTTCGAATCTTCTCATTACACAGACGGCAGCGTCATGTAACTAAATAATTCAATTTGCTTTTGTGCAGATTTTATGGACTCCTTTGATGACGGTGAGTTTTTTCACAAAATTTTGTCTTATATTTCACAACATATTTTAATATTCAAAAGGAAAGATTACAAAATATTCATTGTTCACATGAATATAAAATGTTCAAAAATCCTTTAAAAATTATCTTAAGAAACATGATGAGAATATTAAAAGTATCAAATTACATGTTTCATGGAAGCTTAACTGGATCAAAATGTTTATTTCTTTTATTGTGATCTATTAATTTTCTTTTGTTAATTTAAAAAATACAATCTTTTTTTGCTTCATAAAATATTAATAAAAATCCTTTGCAACTGCATATCAAAAAGAAAACGAGAATCCTGTCTTCTTTTTAAGTAGGGTAACTTCGTTGTCACCAGAGTAAATCTATAAATTACTTTTAGCTAATCATTTGTCCAAAATTATTTTGGAGTAACTTAAAAAGCAATTCTACTGGTCATTAACAGATATTCTCCTCCATCATGGAGATTTTTCTTCCAATAATCACAATATTTTTATTTGTGCGTATTCGATTTTTTTTTTTTTTTTAGCATGGAGGAGTTTGTTTCATTGTTTCATAATTAGATTTGGCCCTAATATTCCGATAATTTACACATACAAGACTTAAAGCATGAAAGTATTTTATATTTATAATTTATAATTAAAATTATTTTTCATATTATCTATTCAAAAAGTGATGTGCATCTATGTCTACATTGTAACACCCCAAGATTTATAAATAAATTGATAAGAGTTTTAAAATAATTAATTGGGTTGTTATAAATATGAATGCCTTAATTAAATGTAAAATATGGTTTTAAATTAATTATATAATTTATTTAAATATTTTGATAGAAGAGATGTGTAATCACAATTTATTTAATAAACTAATGGGTTAAACGTGGGTTAAAGAGTTTTATAAAAGGTTATGTCAATTTTATGATTTTATACTTCTCATTCTTTCTTTATGTTTTTGTGCTCTAAAGAACTGAACAAACCAGAGGCCCTTGGGAGTGAGTAGTCTCACTTTGGAACATTACATTTATGTAGGGCGGTGAGATTAACCTTGTGGAGAAAAGATTAACAGTAAAAAGGGGTGAGGTTGAATATATATTAAAAACTTGCATATTTTTTGCAATGAAGTAGTAATGTTAGTCAAATGAAGTGAGAAGAGTAGTTAGATAGAACATTGGGTATTTTAATACTAGTTCGTCTCAACCACCAAAACCATGTTTAATTCTCAATCTAACCAGATTGAGTTCCACTATCTTTAAATAAATATACAAGTATACTTTTAATAAGTCAATTCTAGCTTAATCCTAAGTATTCTTTGACTTGCCACTTCAAGCAATTACCCAAGTATTCTTTTAACAACAAACATTTTTAGGATTAACAACCAATTATTCTTTTTAGTCAAGTCTCTCTAGGTTTAAGAATAAGTATTATTTTTCAAACAGGCCTTTCCAGGCTCAATAACAAATTTTATTTTTCAAACAAGCCTCTTCAAGCTCAATAATAAGTATTCTTTTTCAAACAAGCCTCATCAAGCCCAACCTTATAACAATGGTTATGAAGATTACAGAGACGTTGTATTCGTCACACTAAAACGTTATACAACCAATTATAAAGTAATGAATGTATACAAGATGATGTGAACCTAGAGGGATGGATTCATTTTACGGATCTATCTAGGTTGAAAAGTTCATAATTAAGAAATTAAAAGAAAAAAAATATGGATTGAGGTAAGAAATGGAAGAACAACGCCACAATCTCTAAAGATTAATAAGTTGAGGAAGATTCGCTACTTTGAATTAGGAAATTCAAGGATAATAATCAAAAGTAGTTCCTAAGAATCTAGAGTGAGAAAATCCTCTCAATTGGAAAAATATCCAAATTCTGAATAATTCATTTTTCCCCTCAAAGTTTTACAAATGGTTTCTATTTATAAGCTTAGATGGGCAAGATGACATAAATTCCCACTAATTTCCCACTAACACTTAATATCCACTAGAATTGACTCTTCACCAGCCCACTAACTCATTAAATTCCACTAAGCCTAAAACACTAAATGTTGGTCTAGGTAACTTGGAAATTTATCTGACTTATTTAATAAAATTAATAAAACAAAAATTACATTAAAAAAATAAGATAATGGACTTATTTAATTATTCAACCCCAAACTACTTAAATTCTAGCCATTAATCTTTCTTCTTTATCATATGTCTTTGGGCTTGTTAGTCTTCAATTTTACCCAGCTGGATTCACATCATACCCTCCTTCTTTGAGAAGATTCATCCTGGATCTTAAGGCTTTATTTATTTCCTAATTTATTTAATTCACTAACTACTGCCGGAACACAAATGCTTCCTCCTGGGTCGAAGACATCTTGCTTGTATCCATCTCTAGCTTCACCTGTTGGTAAGTTATTAATCATCAATGAAACAAATAAAACCTCTTCAAACTCAACCACAAATGTACTCAATGAATAGGAATTGAATCCAATTCAAGTGGCAACTTTGGAAAATAGTAACTTCAAACAACAAATCAACTCCATTTTCCAGGTGCAAGGTCTCTTGAATTTTATTTTGAAAGGTGGACTGAATGTATAAAGGTGCATTAGGAATGATGTTTACATGCTTCTTCAAACAAGAAAACTTGTCCTCCTGTTCCTGTATATTTGACACATCAAAAGAAGAAAATGTAACGTTAGAGTTGTCATCTTACTCTCTATGTATCTCATCTTCTGCTCTCATCTTCTCTTCTCTTTCTTTTTCTATCTTTATTTTCAATTGCAGTTGATCCTCATGTACAGCGTCGGATGATAGACATATCAACTTAATCCTTCGTCCACCATGCACAAAACAAATAGAAGGTCGTTCAGGATTTATAATTTTATTGTACAACCATGGCCTCCCTAATAGCATATGGCATGCCTCCATGGGAGCAATATCACAAAGAACTTCATCTTTATATTTTCCAATAGAGAATTTAATCGTTGTTTGTCTATTAGCAATGGGCAGGCATAATTTCTCAACCACCCTGCTGCTCATGACATTTCTGAAAGTGAATTCATCTATTGCAACTAAGAGTAGATGGTCGTCCACCAAACATCTTGTATAGTAAATTTTCATCGCCATTCCAAACCTAGAGCCGAAGCTCTAATACCAAATGATGTGAACCTAGAGGGATGGATTCATTTTACGGATCTATCTAGGTTGGAAAACTCATAATTAAGAAATTAAAAGAAAAAAATATGGATTGAGGTAAGAAATGGAAGAACAACGCCACAATCCCTAAAGATTGATAAGTTGAGGAAGATTCGCCACTTTGAATTAGGAAATTCAAGGATAAGAATCAAAAGTAGTTCCTAAGAACCTAGAGAGAGAAAATCCTCTCAATTGGAAAAATATCCAAATTCTAAATAATTCATTTTTTACCTCAAAGTTTTACAAATGGTTCCTATTTATAAGCTTAGATGGGCAAGATGACATAAATTCCCACTAACACTTAATATTGACTCTTCACTAGCCCACTAACTAAGCAATAAATTCCCACTAGCATTTATTTCCCCTTAGCAACCTAAAAGGCAAGGCAACCTATCATATTTATTTAATAAAATAAAATAAAACGAAAATTACATTAAAAATAAATAAAATTACATTAAAAAATAAGATAATGGACTTATTTAATTATTCAGCCCCAAACTACTTAAATTTTAGCCCATTAATCATTCTTCTTTATCATATGTCTTTGGGCTTGTTAGTCTTCAATTTTATCCTGCTGGATTCACATCACAAGAAATAATAGATTTACAAAGAGTGGGTTTCTATACAAATGTATCTATGTAAGATTAGCATCTTTGTGTTTCTTGTGCTTTGAAACTTCTTATATAGTAGCTTAAAGAAGGTGATCGTTGCAACACTTTGAGTCCAATTCACAAGTTTGCTCCGTTTGTCTTCATCGTCTTTTCTTGTGATGGCAGGTGACACTTCGACTCATTTAATGCAATCATTAAATGTATTTCACTAAATGGTACATTTTATCTAATCAAGGAGGCTATTTATCAA